TCCTATATCTCCTATATCTCTATATCTCCTATATCTCTATATCTCCTATACCTCCTATATCTCTATATCTCCTATATCTCCTATACCTCCTATATCTCTATATCTCCTATATCTCTATATCTCCTATATCTCCTATATCTCTATATCTCCTATACCTCCTATATCTCTATATCTCCTATACCTCCTATATCTCTATATCTCCTATATCTCCTATATCTCTATATCTCCTATATCTCCTATACCTCCTATATCTCTATATCTCCTATATCTCCTATATCTCCTATACCTCCTATATCTTCTATACCTATCTATCTCTATATCTCCTATATCTCCTATACCTCCTATATCTCTATATCTCCTATATCTCCTATATCTCTATATCTCCTATATCTCCTATACCTCCTATATCTACTCTACCTCCTATACCTATCTATCTCTATACCTCTTACCCTAGGACATAATTTAGTTTCCGGGGATATTCTCCGAAGACATGTAATCAATGCAATGAGCTGTCCGGTTATTAAACAATTTCATGCAAAATTGACAAAAAAATTGTTAACCACGACAGCTTTTACTCAATCGAACCAAACTCATTCATTTACTAATGATAATCATAATTATGTGTATAATCCTGCAAATTTTCCACCTTTGCCGTCTTCACAAAATTTAAATATTGTTAAACCTAATAATGTATTAGTGCAGAAACTAGATGCATTAAATGATAATATGCTGATAATTAATAAAAAGATTGAAGATCTAGGATTAAAAACCAGCACATTAGAAGAAATAATGAAAAAGAATATGGAAGCCGACATTCAAACTATGAACAAAATTCAAATTTTAGAAATGAAAGAAGAAAGTAATAGAGGCGATATCCAACTACTATTAGAGACAGTACTGAATATGGTTCAATATATTTTAAAGTTAAATATGGAAAAGAATGGTCGGGTTAATGATGTCGACCTCAAATGCATTCTAGAAAGACAAAATGTACTACTGCTAAAATGTTTGGAATCGCATATGAAAAGTAAAAAATGACACTTTCCCCCTTTGCTATTTCATTTTATTCGTGTAAATCTAAGTTAATTGAGGACGAGTAATCAAAATTTCTTGAGCATTGTAGAAATAGTCTATCACGATTTGAGTTAGGTTTATTAGAAAAAATTTTGATGGAGTGGTATGATTATCCATTGTTATCAATGTGTTTTTCTAACTGGAAGAAGTATCTAAAAGAGGATCTTACTAACGAGAATACAGCATTACAGGTTTTATCCTTTAATGTTAGAGGTCTAGACTCTTGTTCGTTGGAAGTGCTGTCATTAATACAAAAATATAGATTTGATATCATGATATTAATTGAGACGGGAAACTTCGACTATAACTTTTGTACCCAGTCATTTTCTAATTATCGTATGTTTTATCAGAATGGAGAGAATGCTTATGGAGGTGTTTTGATTTTAGTAAGAAAAGGTTTAAGAATTAAAAGAGTTGACTGCGAAATTCCTAATGTTTGTATTGTGGATATTCTTGATGAGGAAAACCTAAGGTTAATTGGATTATATGCACCACAGAGTAAGACTTGGAAATGGGAAGATCTCTCGAAATTTGTCACTCAGCACTCGTTATTCTTCGGTGATTTTAATGTAGATCTTGAAAAAGATTCTAACTCAGCAAATATTTTAATGAGTTGGGCAGATCATAATTATTTGGTTCCATTTATTCCGGAAGAAAGTACATCTCTTAGGTCAGATAGGACAATAGACTATGTGTTTGCACGTGGAATAACAGTTGATATTCATGTTCTTGAAAGCAAGACTACTAGCGATCATAAACCTATCACTACAATGGTACCCTTTTATATTAGGGAATTATCGTTAGGAAAAACAGTACATTGGAAGGTGTTCTCAGCCTTTTTGAAATATGTATATCCCTATTGGGAGGCTTTATGGAGTTGTGATGATGTTGACTCAGTCTATAAGGACTATGAATCCTTTCTCTTTTTACTATCTGTTCGGTGCACAACTTGTTTTCCCCTCAATAAGTATAGGGTTTCGATTCCGGTAGAATTTAGATCCCTTATTAAACTATTGAGGAAAATCTCCCTCAGACAAAAACGTACTGGTGACGCTATGCTATATAATGAAGTAAAATTGCTAAGAAAATTTGTTAAAAAACACTCAAAAATATATTTTTCATTTCAACTTAAACGAAAACTACATGCAAGGGATAATGCTTCAAGTACATCAATAGCCTTTTGGTCTAAAGTGAAGAAATATTTCAAAACATCATCCTCTCTCCAAGCTCTTATTGACCCTTCAGGAGAAATAGTTAAAGAAAGCAATAAAATGTCTGAAGTAGCTGCAGACTATTATGAGGAGTTTTTTAAGGAACCAAATGATATTATTAGACCGCATCCATATGCTGACACTCCTATGATAGATGAGGAAATGAGCACCGAGAGTATCCCTCCTGCTACCGCCAAAGAAGTTCTAGAAGTAGTTAGCTCTCGTAAATTTAAGAGGTCTTGTGATTCAAAAGGATTATCAAATTATATGTTTCGTTTTCTGCCTCGGAATTACTGGTCATTACTATTACAAATATTTAATACATCCTTTACTGAAGCTCGTTTTCCTGATAGTTGGAAGGAGGTTAAAATGTGGTTATTAGCTAAAAAAGAATCTGTTTGTCTTCATGATTCAACCAGACCTATCTCTTTATTAAATACTTTTCTAAAAATAGATGAGAAGCTTTTTTTAACACGTTTTCAAGATTTACTTCACCGCAGAGGTTTATTACCAGATTCGCAATCAGGTTTTCGACAATAGTTTAGACTTCAAACTAGAGTTCTCCTCTTTTTAGATCAGATCTCCTCATTAATGTCTAATTCGTCTCCAGTTGCAACAATTTTTGTAGATTTCAAATCAGCCTTCGATCAACTCTGGTATGAAGGTTGTTTAGGTAAACTAAGAAAAATGGGTATTCCTGTTGAATATCTGCGTTGGATTGAGTCATGGTTAAGAGGTCGTAGAGCGTACATTGAAGTAAACGGTAAAAGATCCAGGGGGTTTAGAATAATGCGAGGCGGACCCCAAGGGTCTATTTTTACACCCACACTTTTTATCACATATCATGCCGACATGAGGGATTTCTTAGCTTTCTGTTCAAGTCATTTTTTCGCTGATGACTTAGCCTCAGTATTAGCTGGCCAAATTGGAGTGAAATATAAGCAACAATGTGTGGATTTAGAAAAGAGAACGAAATCGTTTCTAGACAATTTGGAATATTATACATTACTAAATATGCAACCAATTAACTATTCTAAAACGCAAGCGATTTAGTCTGCTAGAGCTATAGACAGTCCCAAATTTAACATTCAATTTCGTGAGCATCAAATCAATTGGGTTAAAGAGTATAAATATTTAGGTTATTGGATAACTCCGAAATCAGGATGGGGTAAAATGATTAATACAACTATGCTTAAGATTAGACAGCGAGTAGCTATGTTAAAGGCTTGTAGGATTAATGGTTCCACTTCTTATAGGCTGAGAAGAGCTCTTTTTTCTTGCTACATTCTTCCACTCTTCACTTGGCTTTTTGCAATCTTCCCATTGTTTACAAATAAACAAAGAAATTACCTTTCACATTTTTACTATAACTGCTTGAAAAGAATACTATATGACTGGAAATGGAACGATAAATTTTTGCTCTTTTATATAATGAAATTTCCTTGGAAGATAGATGCAGTAAATATTGGGATAAATATCTAAGTGCTTTAAGTGGCTCTAAGGATGGACTACTTCTAATGGAAGAATCGAATTACAATGTATTTAGAAACGGCTGGGTACAAAAAGAATTTGCTATTCCTAATTTGAGAAAATCTAAAAGATTTATTGAGCATACTTCAGTATTATCTAAAGCTATGGAGTGGTGTGCCAATAACGCGGTGCAACACTCAACTCCAGAATTTTGTGTCTCTGACCTGCTAACATTAAAGGAATTTTCTGAGACATTCTAATGGTACCATACCTCTTTACGATACTGTTTACATCTCAATAGATACGTACGTACTGTATTTGTTATCATTTCCTTTTTTTTTTCTTTTCATACGTTTGTTAACTGTTGTTCGTAGTTATTATGTTTTAAACGCTAAATATTCTTCTTTCGCCTTCGTCCTTTGGGGCGACATCGATTGATCTTGCGTTACTGTATTTCTCTATCTCTACTTCTATTTCTCTTTTCTTTTGTTACTTCACTAGTATCTTATTATTTGTGATATTTGTAACCTATGAACCACGTACTGACAGGACCCGATAGAGGTCACCAGTTTTTTTTTCTTTTTTTCTTAATGCAGCAAAAAAAATAAAATAAAAAAGTATGCAATAAAAACTCATTCAGAATTTCAATCAAATCGAATGAATACATATGTTGAAGTGCATGTTTTCTTCCAATTAAATGTTAACTGGAATCCGGCAGAAAAA